GTACTTGCACTCTTCTATTATCTCTTACTCTACTAGATGAAGCTTTTGTTTGGATTCATCATACATTTTAGTTTTCAATTCAGTAACGAAGTGGTAAAACGGTACAAATCAATTTTGACTATTGGCCAGTTTTTAATAAATATTTCGGAATCTAAGAAGATAGTAAATTTTTTATTGTAACCTTTTTTGTAGAGCCAATTGAAAGCTACAACAAATGTGATTACGAAAATTTCGCTATTTCTCTTTGATTCAGAAATATTCTTCAAAAACTCAACTGGGAGATAAGTCGACTTAAACCATTTTGCCACTTCGCTACTGAATTTTTTTTTAGACATATAAAATGCTTGAAAATGAAGTCTTGGGATGTCCAGATGCGTATGGTTGCAGAGAAATGGTTTATTTGAATTGAATAACCTTCATCTGGAATGAAATCCATAAAGTTATTCTATTAGCACGCGAAAGAAGTTTTTATTCAAATTTGACTTTTCTTTGCATTTCATACCCGTTAAATAAATAATTTTATGAACGTACTACCCATATGACACTCATATAACCCATATGACCACGATGACCGTAATTCCGACCCTTATTTTGACCCTGACGACCCTTATTCTGAGCCTTGTGACCCTTAGTTTCAGACCCTTAATTTTGAGTACCAAAATTCCTCATTTTTTTTCTAATCATTCAATTATCTCAAAGCCAAGTGATTTCATTGAAGAATGTTTCGATATTTTCTTTGGTGATTTGGGTTTTTATAAGATAGAAAGGAATAAATTCTTAAATTTCATTGGTTAAAAATATAGTAATTGTTTAGACAATGAGAAGCCTGAATTTTTTAATATGTATTTTTTTATTATTTTTTTTTATTCATATTTCTTTCCTACTACCATTACGGTTTTATAGGCTCCCTATTCGTCTGCCTTGCCTCTCCCACTTTTCTCTTCTGATTTTTTCTGCGTTACCATGGGCCGTCTTACTCTTAACTGTACCCCATTCGGGCTAGGACTACAAGGGAAACCATGGAAAACCCCAGTCGTACAGCCGGCCGATTGTGCAGAGCCCTAATGTGCTTTTCTGTCACACTGACTAGAGAGGCACATTAGGCCACTGCACCGTGCCTACCTTCCGAAATTTTTGAGCGAGGGTGTTCCTAAGCGGTGACCCATCCAAGTACTAACCACGCTAAACGCAGCTGCACTCGGATGTCTACCGGAGCAACACCTCATTCACCCAACCATTACCGTCGGTTCTTTTAACCCTAGTTGGTCACCATATGAGAACTTGCGACTTTGGTCATTTCCGCAGGGAATCGCGCCGTGTTATTTAGGCCCGAGCGTTGCCGAATTCACTCTATACTGCCTGGGCGCGTTTAGCGAGACTTCGGCCACGTCGCACAACGGGCAATTTCATTTAACATGGGAAAAAATTGCCCGTCTGTTAGAAATTTTTTTTTTCTTCAGGAATTGTGAATATTAATAATTTTTAAAAATATTATAATTTTCTAGACACTTGAATTGACGCATTCCAATTTTTTAGGATTTTTCCGCTCAGCCAGTCAATGATAAGAAAAAAAATCGACCTTATGCGGCGTTTCCCTCCTATGGTGACCAAACTAGGGTTAATATGTATTAATCCTTTATTTTGATAAAATGGAAAGAAGAAATCAATAATCGAAAGAAAAAATTATGAATTATCAGATTTGACGGAAAATTTACCATTTTTATTGATTTCTTCATCATATTGTGAATGATATTTTTTTTAATTGCATCAGAAATGTCACCTGATAAAAATTTTCAAGAAATGTACAAGAAATTTGAGTTCAAAATTGTTAACAGTGAGCTCATGAGTTCTCAATTAAAAAATGTAAAATTGTTCATCCGAAAATTAGAGATGAAAATAAGAGATGATAGATGATTTGATTTGTCAAATTTCACAATTAGTTCTCTCCAATCGATATTTATGACGGGAAAACCCTTATTCACATCAGAAATATACTGCAACGCATCAGAAATATACCCACAAGGCGTGCCCACGTGCACCTACCTACAAAAAAAACGGAAGAGGATGGGAAAAGAGAAAAAAAGTGAGTCAAAGGCAGGAGTGCTTTATCCGAGGAGTAAAACCGCAAATCCTAGTATAATACTAATAGAACTATAATAGGTTCAATAGAGCGCGCTGGTCTTCGGCGACAATGCGATCTTGTCAAAATACTCAACGTGGTAACATGAAACTTGGGACATGGATTTTCTCAATGGGTGTTACTGCCTCTCACTCGTGTCCTTTTATTGGTACTTTTATACTTGAAAAACCCACGGTTTCTTATATCATTGATCCTCGTATTATTATTCAATGCTTTTTTTGTACGAAAAATGTGAAACCACTCAAAACGACAAACGGAAGGAACTAAATGATTGAGGTCTAAGTTACCAGCACTGGGCGTAGTATTTCATCAAAAGCCTACTCAACGTTCGGTGTAAAGAAGAAAATTTTGACGCATGCCAATTAACAAATGAACAGGTTCTCATATCACTCGATAAAATTTTAAAACAAGTGGAAAATAGCTCTTGTATTGCATATTGTGTTGCAACGGAATCAATGTGTAAGTTATTGATCCTCTTCCTGATATATTTGTGGGTGTGTTTTGGTTTGTTATTCGATTAATAAAAATATCATTCTAAAGTCGGAGAACGAAGATATTAATCATCACGTGTATTAAAAAAAGAAATAAAGCCGCCCCTTTTCCATAATTCATCGCCTATTCATTACAGTATAGCTATTTTTGCTAATAAATTAGCAATATGCTTCCGAATGGTTGTTTTGCACATAATTTCCTTTTATCGTGTACACTGTTAGAAAAAAATGAAATTTCATGAACAGTTGACTGCTAATTTTCGGGACAGTGACATCGAATGCGATTTAGGGGGAAAAAATCATGAAATTTCTGGTTTATCTGAAAATTTAGTAAAATTTAGAATTTTAACCAGGGTAAAGACGAGCATTCCTAAACTCATTTAAATTTCCTATCTAATGTAAATATTAAGTGCCAAATTACGTTGAATTTTCCGTGAAATTTGAAATTTCATGATTTTTTCCCCCCTAAATCGCATTCAGTGTCACTGTCCTGAAAATTCACGAATATATTTACCGAAATTTTTTGGTTTTCTATTCATCTTCAGGGAAAAATGGAACTGAAATTTACATTTATCTTGGATTTTTTCAGGGAATTCTGAATGTTCAATGACAAAATTGCTTGAAATTTCAGTGGTAATTAAATTCGATCAGAATTTCCAAAAAGTGTACCGAAAATTTCAGACAAAAATTTTTAACAGTATGTAATTCATTATTTATTTCATTTTATTAAATTGAATAAGATTTCTTTTTAACTGATTTTGTCAGATTTTCAACTTAGTTGAATGTTATCATCATCATCACCATTATTCTTATTATCCATTTCTTCTATGCAACCGATTGTCTTTTTTACAGTTCTATCTCTCCCCTCAGCCCTTCGATAAAATAGATAAAGTTTATTTATATATACTTAAATAAATTTGAAACATCACATTTGAAGAAACCATCAGAAAGCTCACTTTCAGGAGAATTAGAAATTTTCAACAATCGCCATAAAAATCAAGTCAACCGATATAGCTATTGTAATCATCTTTCAATTTCGACTTAATGGCATTGAAACAAACATTTGAAGCTTCATATTCAAAGATATCCCCGAAATTGTAATTTTCAAAAAATACAACATTCTTGCAAATTTTCAAAGAAATCAAAATAACGATTATAGCTATCGCCTTCATCTTCGAATTCGGTCAAAAGGACATCTAAACAAATTTTTTAAGCCATCATTGAAGCAATTCAGAACATTGTTTTTTAGTTATCGTGGCACAACCGATTATCTAAAAAAATGAAAAATTAAAAAAACAAAAAATCCGTAACTTAAATTGAAATGATTACAGGGCTTCCATTTGGAAGCAAAAAATAGGAATTAAATCTTTACTTGAACATGAATGTCCAATTATTGCATACATCGATTACCCTGCAATCTCGTCCATACCTCGCAGTTTTTTATCTGAAAAAAATATTTCCAGCCAAGCGTTAATCCTCTACTACCGCAGTCTCGAAATGATCATTGAGATCCCCTCTTTGTTTTTTTTTCCGTTGCTTTTTTTTGTCACACCCTTTCGCTTGGGTTTCGACATTTGTTAGACCTCTAGAGTTTGTATGGAAATATATGACAACGGTGTGGCTTTTAGTAAATCGTCAGAGTTAAAGGGTGTGCTATAAAACACACATACGAGAATTCATTATTTTCACAGGAGGAAGGCTGTGAAGTCGAGTAGTAGCTTAGGTAGTGTTGCTGTAGATTATGTAAAAAGGACAAAATCCATGGGTATATTCGTACACTTTTCTGGGTTAATTTATCAAACGGCGCGCAAACTCACAGGGTCGTGAGCCCTCATTTTATAAAACGCCGACTCGTTAAAGACATTTTACCTCTGGTGGGGGAGTGAATGGAGAGACGAGAGGAGAAAAGGAAAATGAGAGAGTGAGAGAGAGAGAGAGTTTCAGCTCTCTGCCCTCCATATACCCTGGCTCCATGTATATATACGCATAGATTCTATACTCTTTACACAACTTCCTCGAGAAAGCCGAAGGAATCTTTTTCAACTCCACTTCTTCTTCATTCCATTCCCAATGGCTTTTCCCTCTGCTCGAAAGTTACTAACGTCGACAGCTTTATTAGAAAACGGCCGGTACCGAAAAACGTCTTAATATAACTCGTAGCACCGCTTTAACTTTTCCCTTCCTTCCTTCGGTCTATCCTACTCTCCACCTCCGTTCGTGAAAGGGAGATCATCATAACCCTCCTACGGCCTAAAAATCTCAGAAAAATTATCCCAAACTACTTCATTTTTTTATTCGTTATTACATGAAATATTTTTTTGCATTAAGCTTTAATTCTCTAATGAGCTATTTCATTTATATATTTTTAGGTTTCTCACAGTCCAAGAGCACCTTCTCAACGGGGTCTGGTGAGCGATTATTCAATACGTCTAGTATAGTTAGGGGAAGAGGTGGCTGTACCGCTCATCTAAGGAATAACAATACTTTTCACATCCCAATCTATGATTTCGGATAAAATTATATAATTATTCTTTGGCTATTCAGCCAGATATTTAGAAGTTTGGATGTTCAATTCTTGTTTCAATTCCGATAAAACATCAAAAAATGGAGTATGGGTCGCATGCAGCTAATACCACACAGTCTGATCAAATGATGCGAAAAAGAATTACAAACGATTGATCATAATTTTATGCGATTATAATGTTATTATCATAGTGAATAACCTTACGTACTGGTCCAGAAAAATTACATCGTAAGGCCCTGAAAATTTTGGAGTGCTAGTTTTATCATTTAAAGTGATGAAAAAATTTGAAATTTGCTTCATGTGTCCCTTTAAGAGACGCATGTATAACTTGCCGATGCGAGTTGAAATTTAAAATTGAAAATTCGGAAATTTCTTACGAAAAATTTCAGTTCTTTCAAATTTCAATTTATCGAATTTCAATTTTGATATTTCTTTTTTGAAAAACTCAAAAAGGGGTAGGGGGTTTTCTTTTCCAACCGAATCCATTCTTAAGCAAGTGAATGCCTATCGATCGCGACCAACTTCATTTCGATCGCACTATACGCGTTCGCCCGGGAGCAATAACGAAAAAAAGTACACGGAGAAAAGTTTTCTAGAAAAATTCTAGTACACGTACTGGAAAAAATCACAATCCACCGGCTGTGAAAAATTCTAGTGCTATTAAGGTAAAAATTCTTGGTATTTCTGGTAAAATTACCGGGGATTTTCATGAAATTTTCACAGAAATCCGGGGAAAAATTAACGTTTTCCCCAATAAAATTTCTAGTGCCGGCACTGGAATTTTTTCCTGCCCATCACTTTGCGCCTCTTTTCCCGTACTAGCACTAGAATTTTTCTAAACAATTTCTCTCCATGTAGCTACATACACACACACACATACACATTTCTAAAAACCATATGGGGAGCTTCTACTCATCATGAAACGTCGACCTTTCACGAAATTATGATTTTTCAGTTTTCATTTCCGGGGTGAAACCAATAACTTCCTATTGGGAAGTTAATAAAAATTACATATTGATAGTAGAATTTTCAGATTGAGTGAGAGACAGTTTGGGAAAAGTAAGTGATTGTGAAGAAAATCAGGTGAGCGGTATTGGCTGCTGAGCGGTACAGACATCGCCTCCCCTATAATATTCACCACGAAAGAAATAAAAGGGGAGAGCGAGTTAATTTAATGAGTGTAGGTTTCATAGAACCTTCGCGATTCTGGTAATTCATTGCCATGATGTCTTGCCTAACGTCCATAAGCTAAAATCAATGGACGAAAAATACATTCAGCATTTTGGATAGAGGGTGCATATTCAAGAATACTAAACGCTCGTTAAGAAAGATGTGCCTTCAAAACTGTCGTTTGTAACTTCCTCTCTCTCTTTTTCCTCTCTTTTTCCATCTCTTCCTTTTGTACTCACTGGTTTTTCCATCAGTGGGGTGTGCATATATGCAGATGCCACAAAAAAACAACGAGTTCCCCAGTGTTCACTCTCCGGGTTACGTCATAGATGGGTGGAAAAACTCATTTCGTATTCATACACGATGATTTCGATGTTTTCCACACCATTAAACCACGCTACTGCATTACGGAGGTACCATGTGAAAATGATGTTCCTCAAAACAAGTTGCGACAGGTTGGAAAAAGATTGCTCACCATGACCTTCACGGCTGGAGAAAGAATACTTGTAAAATGTTCGCATTTTTATGAGTCATTACAAGTTATGTCTATAGTATTTTTATGAAAGGAGCAGTTTGTTAATTTTTACTGCAAGCCATTATAAATGTCATGAGGAGAATTTGGATGGGAGCTATTCATGGCACATTCCGTCAATTATCGAGAATCGAAATTTTTTATCAGCCTGTGTACTTTTTGATACTAGTCGGATTCTTGTTCGAAATTCCGTTAGAATTTTTTTGAAATTTCATGTTAAATATGATAGTAATTTTCATGAGAGTGACATAGAATTGAATTTAGGAGAAAAATGGCTATGGAATTTCAAGTTTTAGATAGATTTCAAAGGAATTCATGAGCTTTCGGTGGGAGTGAGATGGAAATTTCACAACTTCATTGAATTTTCAATGGAACATGACTGTTCAGAAACAAAATGACATGAATTTTCAATTTTTCCCTGAATTTTCATGTAATAATTTAACTGAAAAATCAAGTATTGTATTGATTTTCAGATTATTTGAACCGAAAATTAATGAACTATTAGATTTTTCAATGATAATATTTCCTGAAATTTTAGTGGAAACTAAACATGATGAAAATTTTCAAAATTTAACACGGAAAATTCAGACGACAATTTTTAACAGTGTCGGTTGAGAAAATATTGCTCATCATGACCTTCATGGCTCGAGAAAGAATACATGTAAAATGCTGGTATTTTTATGAGTCATTACAAGTTATATCTATAGTATTTTTATGAAAGGAGCAGTTTGTTAATTTTTACTGCAAGCCATTATAAATGTCACGAGGAGAATTTGGACGGGAGCTATTGACGGTACATTCCGTCAATTATCGAGAATCGCAATTTTTTATCATCCTGTCTTTTTGATTTCAGTCGGATACTCCCAAAATTTTCCGGACCTAATTTCCTCGAGGAGGGGGAGGGGTAAAATAAATATAATTTCCCCTGGGAAAAAAAAAATAAAAAATGGGAGATAAAAATTACAAAATTATTCCGTACTACTGTTGCGTGTTTATTCATTTTTCTTATAATTGAATGTTTATAGAAGATTTTGCAGATTTTTCGGTTAGGAATTCATTCATTGATTAGTTAGAAATATCCTTTATTAGATATTGTATTTTGTTTTTCATTTATGGGATTGTTTGTGTAATTGAATAAAGGCAAGTGTAATTTTGTTCTTGATAATTTTTTTGTGGAAGAAAGACAAGTGATACCCAGATGTTGTTACTTTTTCGTCTCAATTTTTGTCTGTTTTTGTTAAATTTCATATTCGAGAATACCTCTTGTGATGGCCGGGAATTCATGTTGGAAGGAATTTTGGCCGCAAAATCATTCTATGTAATTGATGTGATAACAGGAAAGTTTTTAATAACAAATTCAATAATAATTGAATGGGTTAAATTTAATTATCTTGTTATCAAGATAAAATAATATTTATTCATGTTGTGAATCCTTACTTTGGATATATCTCTGATATTTAATAATGAGTGACACCCAGGAATTAGAAATATATGATCAGATAAGAGATATAAGGAATACTAATAATCATAGCTATTAATTTCAAAGATTTTTAAGAATGCAAGAAAAGACATCAAACGATAGAGAGAAACAGAATTCAATCGATGCGAAAACAAATTCGCCTAGATTCACTGATAGAAAGGATTAGTTATTGTTAACAAATAGATTTGGTTGGAGGTATTGGTCGTTAATAGTTAACAAATGCATATTTGAGGAGCCTTGTTTGAATAGATTTTCTCCTTTCAAATAAATCATTCGTTAACTATTAACGAATAATTATTGGTCATATTCAACTCTACCATTCGTTAATATAGTTAACGAATCTCGTTTGAAATAAATGCATTATTCTGTGAGTGTTGTTGGTCGCTCGCTCCCGTTGTGGGTGTGTTGGAGTGGAGGTGACCCATTGCGGGTCGAACCAATAACTTCCCGAGCAACTGCCTTTCCTTCATCCATTAGAATTAAATTTCTCTATACCACTTATTCTATTCAGATATTTTCCATTGAATTTCCTCCGCTCAAATTTTCCAACTTTTTTTGTTTGATTTTCTTCATGAAAAAAAAACAGAAAAATAGAATAAAAAAAGATGATGATGAAAAAAAATTGACCTATATTGAAAAATCTTTGAAAAGTTTCAAATTTCAAAATTTCACATGTGAATTACTCCGAAACCGCTGAGACAATTCTGCTGAAATTTCACTCCAGTCTTAATCATACATAGTTGCATCAATTACGATGACGAGAAATCAATCTCATCGTTTCTCTGAGAGGAATCATCAAATTTGTAAAACAATGTCATTTTTCGACGTTTTTTCACAAGTTTTATTGGAAAATCTAAAGAACCGCTGAGGCGATGTTGTTCAGAATCTAATCAGTTCTAAGTTACATGAAAGCACATCGTTTGTGTGAAAAAAAATTAAATCGCATCGTTTGTTCGAGAGAAATTATAGCATAAAATTTTGGTCGCATATACACACATATACACATCCACGCATAGAGATCGGTCTCTAAAAGTTTCGGGAGAAATTCTAAGGGTCATGAAACGTGGAGAAATCATCAAGTTTCCACAATCCATTTTCGGGGTTACTACAGTACCTTCCTCTCTTCGGGTTGGGAAGTTAATAAAAAGAAAAATATTGATTTAAAAGGCAAAGACGATAAACAGATTGTTTTTGTAAATATTGTCCAAAGCAAATTTTAATTTATCCAAAGCAGTGTCCTGAAAAGTGTCGAGTTTTAAGTTTAATTTTGTCCCTCAATAATTGATGGAATGTGCCATATAACAATATGGGAATAAATTCTCAATAACACCATTTTAAATGCCGAATAAAAAATGCCGAAATTTTGAAAAGATCTGCTATTGGAATTCTTTCGATTGGTTCTCGAGTTTCCTGTCAAAACATTGTCAAGAAAAAGCCGTTTCTTGTGATGTTCAAAATACAAGCTGAGAGGCCTCGTCATTGCATTCAGACGCTAATCGAGTAACCGGAGACTTTTTTCATGTAATTCGAGGCCACTTCCTTCGGCTGCCAAGGATTCCATCCATTTGGTGCCTTCATTTCTGAAATTATTTATGAATCAGTTCAGTCTACTCTCATTAGGATCTCCAATTATTGGTTTAAATTGGATGTATTGAATTTAGACAAATTCCGAACTCTGCGATGTTGTGTTAGAACGACAAAA